TCTAATTCACTAGTGAGTTGCTGTGTGAACGTTTCCTTTTTATAAATGTGTATTAGGTACAACTATCTTGATACTAGATACTTCATTTGTTTTAAGTAACATTAAAGAAAGAATATCTCAGTAAAATTTGCATGCCTGTTGCTGACGCCTTAGAATCTCAGAAGAGATCCTAATGATCAATCAATCCTATTACTGTAGAGATAAAAACATTCCTTAATGCCTAGAGAAGTTGAGAGACCAGCCTAAGATTATATGGCTACTTATGGAGAAGACCCAGGAAACCAACTAGCATTACAAGGCTCTGAGCTCATATAAAAGTGGGATTCCTATTTCTGATCGGCATTTGTTTATGGAGATTTGAGGGAGCAATATAAATGCAAGAGGGAAAATTGTTTCTCAGGGCACTTCTGGAAAAAAGTATTCATTTTCCTCACATGACATTTGAAAAGGAATTTGGTATGTTGTTGTTGTTGCTGTTGTTAGGTGTCATCAATTCCAATTCATTGTGACTCCATGTACAAGAGAATGAAACACTGCCTGATTCTGTACCATCTCCACAACTGCTGCCCTGCTTTAGCCCATCGTTGCAGCTTCTGTGTCAATCTCTCTCATTAGAGTCTTACCCTCTTTGCGCCAATCCTCTACTTTACCAAGCATGATGTTCTTCTCCAGAGATGGGTCCCTCCTGATAACATGTCCAAAGTACATGAGAGAAAGTCTTGGCCATCCTCGCTTCCAAGAAGTATTCCAGTTATACTTCTTCTAAGACAGATTTGTTCATTCTTCTGGCAGTCCATGGTATAGTCAAGATTCTTTGCCCACATGACAACTGAAATGCATCAGTTCTTCAGACCTTATTCACTGTGCACCTTTCACATGTATACAAGGTGACTGAAAATACCATGACTTGGGGCAGGCGCATCTTAGTTCTCAAGGTGATATCATTGCTATTTAATACTTTAATGAGGTCTTCTGAAGCAGATTTTCCCATTGCAACATTGTTTGATTTCTTAACTGCTGCTTCCATGGGCGTTTGCATCTTGTATTTAGTTTTATTATTGATGTATCATTGTTCCTTCTCTAGACAGCAAGGCTCTTAAAGGAGTCATGTATTTATGTATTCCTCAGAGTGCCTTCCAAACCAAAAAATCGCACATTACCACCAAGTCGAACTTAGTTCATAATGACCCTATAGGAGAATGTAGAATTGACATACAGGGTCTCCAAGGCTGTAAATCTTCACAGAAGCAGACTGCCACATCTTTCTCCCACAGAGTGCTAGAGGCTTTGAATTGCCAATCTTTTGGTTAGCAGCCAAGTGCTGAACCACCGTGCCATCAGGGCTCTCTAAAATGCTATCCAATGGGTACTATAAATAATTCTTCCAATAAATGATTTAATACAAAAAGCATAAATAAAATTTTATTTAAAAATGTTCTGTTACATCAATGATGTTTACATATATGCATTTATAAAAGTATGGGTTTTTCCTATTCTGGAAGCTCTTACACTTGTAACCAATAACTGAACCAGTTTATATGATTTTCACACAATTAGTATCTGATGGAAAAAAATATACCTGTTCCCTCATTTAAAAAGTAGCCAAAATACTGATTTATGATAACTATGGAAATATTTAAGGAATGCTAGAGATATCCAAGTATGAAATTTGAGGTTCAAATGGGTTCTCCTGCAATTTAGGTATTGCATTAGAATTAACTCTGTATGTTGACACAACGCATCACTAGTTGAATTTTCCCCACAAATCCAACCAATAATTTTCACATATATTGTTCTTTCTTTGTTTTCCTATTTTCAATATGACAACCTTAGGAACTGGAGAGAACAAGTTCAGTTTTCCAAAACACAATGAACAAAGAATAAAGTAAGATTATTTGGAATATTTTGAAAGGCAAAAATCAGACACCAAGTTTGTGAAGGAAAGGTCAAAAGTCATGGCCACTAACCAGAGCCAAATCAGCCCTGAAGAGGGCTTTGTCAGCCAGCCCCTCCTCCTGGCAGGAGTGTGGTGGGTAGAAAAAGGAGTCCTCCTTAGCAGAAACATAGCCTTCTTCTGGCGAAAGCTGCAGGGAAAAGGAAGCTCAGTGTTGGGAGACAAGTTCATGAAACAGAGAGAATAAGAAAGAAGGAAGGAAACAGAAAGGAATGGAAAGTGGGTAGAAGAAGGGAGAAGAGGAAAAGGAAAAAATGGGAAGGTTTTCAAATCATATGACTTCAATATAGAATTCTAAGTATAAAATCTGATATTCATATCTAACATTTTTATGAGTTAAGAGATTACACTATCAATATCAGGAAAAATTAATAGAATCCCTCTCTATTAATTCTGTCCTTCTTCGTCTTATAAAAAGTGATCAAAATCAATGACTTTTTATATTAAAATAGTCTTCTGGTCATTTTTATCTGACAAATATTTTAAGCAAAACAATGAATTCCTCATATGACTAAAAGCAACTTTTATGTGATAAGGCATGAAAGAAGCTGCAGAACACAGTATTTAGAAGGATCAACTTCTCTCTGTCATCCCTTACTAGAATATTATTTTAAAGAATGTAATTTACTTGACAAGAAACGTGACCGTGCCCTATAGGGAAGTCTCTTAATTTAGCGTGGCTTAATAAAAACTCTGCATGTACACAGTCAGCTTAAATTGAATCCTGAGCTATCAGACTGGGACCCTGATCACAATGACAGAAAGCCTTATATTTTCATTTCAATCTCAGGTGAAATAGACTAAATACTCTTGCCTATATCACTCTTTTTCAGCAATACACACAGAGAAAGTATTAGAGGGAAAATGTTTTCCTTTTTTCCCACATATATGAGTTTAATGCTTATTGTTGTTGTTGTTGTTGTTATGTGCCATTGAGTCAGACTCCACTCACAGTGACCCCTCCTTGGGTTTCCGAGGCAGTATCACTATGGAAGTAGATTGCCCCCTCTTCCTTCTGAGGAGTGGCTAGTGGGTTTGAACCACCAGCCTTCTGGTTAGCAATCAAGCGCCTTAGGCACTATGCTACCAGAGCTCCTTTAATGCTTATTAGACCTTACTTTATGTAGTAAATATATTTCTGATATAGGCAAAGTATATGAAATTTGAGATATCAAATACTCTCATGAAAGAAAGTGATTTTGTAACTTGCTAGCATAGTACCTAAGGCACTTGACTGCTAACCAGAAGGCTGGCGGTTCAAACCCACCAGCCATTCCTCAGAAGGAAGGTTGGGCAATCTACTTTCATGGTGATACTGCCTCAGAGACCCAAGGAGGGGTCGCTATGAGTTGGGTCCGACTCAAGGGCACATAACAACATAACAACAGCTAAAATAAGAGGGGGGGGGGCTACCTCTAAATATCTAGTATGATTTCTCCTTAATGGCAATATAAAACATAGATTAAGTCATGCTTGCCATAGAAATATCAGAACCAAATATATGGTCCAATCTTATTAAATATATAACACACTGCCATTGAATCAACTCTGACTCATAGAGACCATATAGGACAAAGTAGAGCTGCCTCATAGAGTTACCAAGGCTATAAATATTTACAGAAGCAGAATGCCTCATCTTTCTCCTATGGAACTGCTGGTGGGTTAGAAAGGGTTTTCAATTAGCAGCCAAATGCTTTAATCACTGTGCCACCAGGGCTCCAAAAGAAAGCCCTATAATGGCCTATCTTCATTTTCCATTCCTCTTTGTATTGCTCTTTTGTTCTCATGTCTATAATCCTGGTTTGATTTTAGGTTGGTTAATCCTATTCTTCCTCCCTCCCTGCTTTCCTTCATGTGTTTCTGTCTCTCTCTCTCTCTTACTTTCTTCTTATATATATTTTCACAGGCAACCTGAATGAAAACAGTGGGGCACAAATAATGTAATTAAGCCTTTAACATAACAATAAAGCTTACTATTTGAAAAAAAATTCTTTTACCAAGTCAACAAATCCTTATTTGATTTTTATGCAATTTGGGTTTCTTAAGAGAAAGTATATTTTTCCTTTCACTTCACAATATATTTATACACTGAAAACACTCACAAATATTGAGAATGTCTCTAATATTTAACTGCAATACAGTTATAAGCACTATGTTGCAATCATTACAGTTAATTAAAGATATTGCTATTGTGTAGCATAAATTCATTAGTTGCTTCTAATATTATAAAATTAATGATAAGGGGGACTATTTTCTCCTAGGAGGCAAGTAACAAGCACATGAACCTACTTTAGAAAGTTCAATTTCCTGCTCTGCAGTAATTAGACAGCAACTTTGTTGAAGTCAACAGAATATAAGGACTTAAGCCACTCAGACAAAGAGTGGCTTATTTCACTTTGATTAAAGATTCCACTCTTAGTTATTAATGCTATTAATTTCCCTAGCAGTCCACCTCATTGCTATCAAATTTAAAGCCCAATTTCTCTGAAAATATTTGATTCTGCTGTCATCATTACCTGTTGTTGTTGTTGTTATGTGCCATCGAGTCAGCCCCGACTCATAGCGACCCCTCCTTGGGTTTCCGAGGCAGTATCACTACAGAAGTAGGATTGCCCAACCCTACTATCTAATAAAATATGTCAAAAGTCAATCACATATATGCAATTAAATTTAAATTTATTTCTGAACTTCCTGGCTGTTCTCTTTCCTTTAAGTTTTTGAAAATGTTACATTAAATTAAATCTTCATGCCTGTGGAACCAATAATCATGTTGCTGAACAGTACCAAAAGTCACGACTCAATCATGACAACACCTAAACCTAAAAGAATATCTATATATCAGCCATATTGTTTGCAAATATGAAATGAAGTCAATAAAATCCATATTCTTACCAGTAAAGGCTTGGCCACACCTATTCTCACAGTTCCTGAGGGTGCACCCTTCAGTGCTTGTACCGCTTCTTCAAGACTGCTGTTTTCCAAGTTAACATCATTGACAAACATGAGTCGATCTCCAGGAAGAAGTCGTCCATCCTTTTCAGCAACACCACCAGGCACCAAGGAACGAATCACAATCACTGTGCTAGCTGGATCAACTGGATCCTAACAGAATGGAAAATGAAAAAGAAGTCAGACCACTTTTATACTTGAAAACTTTTTAAACATTGTCTATGGTTATGATGAACTATAATTGATGGGGAACTGTTTCAAGTGGCTAAGACACTTGCCTGCTAACCAGACGGCTGGCGGTTCAAACCCACCAGCCACTCCTCGGAAGGAAGGTTGGGCAATCCTACTTCCGTAGTGATACTGCCTCGGAAACCCAAGGAGGGGTCGCTATGAGTCGGGTTTGACTCGATGGCACATAACAACAACAACAACAAATATATACATATATATTTTAATAATATAAATAATGGCAAGCTCACTAACCACTACTCCTGATTTAAACTCTTAAGTTGTACAGATCACTTCAGTACTATAATTTTAATTTTCAATAACATAACTGTCATAATATTATAATTATTATGTGAGGCTAGATGTCAAATATATTCATTATTAAGACTCATTTTGTTAAATAGAATTACTGTACAACATTAACTCATCGCTAGATGTGAGTATAATGAAGGCCAGGCCCATATTTTTGAAGTGAAGTAACACTGAAAGAGACCACACAGTATTTGGTGATGCAGTGTTTTTAGATACACAGCAATCTTAATACTCCAGAATCAGGCTGTATGAAGATTACAACTCCCTAGAGTCACTGGAGACAGCATTCTGGTTCAGTATTAATTAATGAGAAATAACAGCTGCATTCTATCAGACAGGCTTTAGCATTTCCTTAGTTACTCAGCATAGAATGCAATGCAGGATAAGGATATAGGCCACAACTGACCAATTTAAAGCATATAGTCACAATTTGGTAAAATGATGGGAATATCAGATTTAAATGTTTTCTGATATAAAGCTATCATTCACTTCAGACAAAAGAAATAAGTACCTATATGTATGTCTTGTCATTAAAATGAGAACTACCACTTAAATGCATGGAAATAAAATGAATTTAAACACACTCCCCAAATGACAAAATAAAATTATGTTTCTATGGTATTCCCTAAATTGGGTTCTGCATGTTTTCAAAGTTTCAAGAGCTGACACATAAAATATCTCAAGGAACATCTCAAGAAATCCTTTAAGATAATCAAAGGAGCAAATTAACAATATAAATCACTATACTGAAAGATTCACTACAAACAAGTAAATGTCTCTGATGTTACTAAATTATTCTAAAATATTATCTTTTTCTCTATTATCAGCAATATACTTTTAGCCATATGTCATCCTTCTAAAATAAAAAAGTTGCTGAAAATAGGACATATTTACCTGATAATCTAAAATGCTAAAACCAAGTCCTTTGTTCCTTTTCTCCAGCTCTATGTGCTGAACATCTGCCTCCCACATGGCCAAAGGTCCTTGAACTTCCTCCATATTCTGACCCACATTGGTCATCGCCAGCACAGTATCCTCTGTCTCGGATGACCCGATGAACTCGCCCAGGTCCACATGAGGCTGGGTAACAGACCACACAGCTCTTATTTCAGAGACACTAGATTAGCAGATACTCGTACCAACGCTTCAAGAGAAAGGGAGATTTCTACCATCTGTCCAGAGGAAAATACTCCCAAGTAAAAGCAACAACAGCTTATCTTGACACCTTTGGGAATTAAGGTAGTAATTACTGAAAGCTGCTAAGGAAGAAGAAACACCTAAGTTGTAACTAGCATTAAAAATACATGGTTAACACTGTCAACCACTCAGAGGGGGATGTATGTAGGAGATCCTGGATACAGGGGAGAACAATGTGGAACAAAACTCAAAATCATAAAAAAAAAAAAAAAAGGTACCAGGTTTGCTGGTCTGATAGAGCCTGGTGGAACCCCTGAGGCTATAGCCCCTAGCTTCCCTTCACGTCTGGAATTGAACCCACTCCTGTGGCATCCAAGACAAACATATGAGCTGAATGTTTACATTAGGTAGATACACTCCTTGGCGAGAACAATCATGAGAGAATAGAAGGGCTGTGTATGCACAGGGAGACAGTTCGGCTGGGGGGCCAGGTGTGCATGGCAGGGAAGGACACAGGGAAGAGGTAACTATGGGGAGGAAGTGGGAGGAGACTGTTGCATTGTTCGAGATTGCAGTCAATGTCATGAGACAAAGTGTATGTGAACTGCTGTATGGAAAATGAATTTGCTCTGTAACCTTTCACCCAAATCACAATGTTGTTGTTGTTATGTGCCATCAAGTAGGACCTGACTCATAGCGACCCCTCCTTGGGTTTCTGAGGCAGTATCACTATGGAAGTAGATTGCCCCATCTTCCTTCCATCACAATAGAATTAAAAGAAAAATACATGGTTCAAAGATCTCCTATCAAAATATATAAAAGTACATTTCAGCAGCATGATTGTGGGTGATTTTCAGTTTTTTTCATTGGCATCTGAATTACTTCTAAAGCCAAAAATTTTCAGGCTATTTTGATAATAATAAAAATAATTCTTATGATAAGTATAAAGAACAATGCAAGATAAAATGGATATGTGTAAAGTCCTACAATCTATGTAAACAAGAGTTCTGGAATGCTGACATTTGTGTACATGACTATTTCATTAATACATTACTGAGCACAATGGGAAGGTTTAAGAGTTGAAGTCAGACCGGCCTGGGCTTGAAGCATGTTACTTTAAGGAATATTCTCTACCTGAGCTCCATAATTTTCCACATCACTGAATTTTTGGGGGATTAAATGAGGCACTATTTATAAAGCATTTGACATAGAAGCAGGTGTTCAAAATGTTAGCTTCCTTCAGTAAAAATAAATGAAAGTGAATCTAGGTTAATACAACTTTGCTCATCTATATGAACCCATTAAATTTAAGAAGGCTGTATCTGTGGTGATGAAATTACTGTTTGTATACTATCTGACCTCTTACTCAATTACTACATAGACAAGGACCATAATGAAAATCTGTCCATCTATCATAATAATCACATTTATACCTTATGAAAATGTGTATGAATATACATGGTGCTGGCTTTTGAGTTACTTATCATTTGGAATTATGTTTCTTTCTTTCTTTTTTTAAGCTTATTCTAGACCAGGAGGCTGTCATTCAAACAGAACAAGGGGATACTGCATGGTTTAAAATTAGGAAGGGAGTGCCTCAGGATTGTATCCTTTCATGATACTTATTCAATCTGTATGCTGAATGTGGTAGTTATGTTTGTGTGTCAACTTGGCTGGGCCTGGTTGAGTGGCTGGGCAGCTGGTAGTAGTTATTCCCCATGATGAGACTGGCAATCAACTCCATGGTGGGATCTACCACAAGCCTTACCCTAAGGTAGTCTGCTTCCTGTATATAAGCAGAAGCCCTGTGGAATGGTCTGTAGCCTATGGCATGCTTGGACCCTACATGTAGCCGTGTCATTGCTTAGCAGCTTGCTATGCTCTGCCAACCTTGGGACTTACAACAGACTTAAGTTAATGGCCTGCCGTATGGTTTGGTAATATTGGGACTGTGCCTTTATACTTGTCAACCTTGGGGCTTCTCGGCCTCAGCAGCCAGCAGCTGTCTGAGTGACGAAACGCCTCTAGCTCCAGTGGGTCCAGAGCAGGAGGCAGAGCTGGACCCCAAGGTTGAGGGGCTTTTATCCAGCCCCTAGAGCTTGGCACTTTGAACTTGTACTTAAAGCCTCCAAATTGTAAGAATAAGCTCCTGTTTTTTGAGGCCATCCCATTTGTGGTATATAATCTTATCAGAGTGGTACTAGGTAACCAGAACACTGAACAAATAATCTGAGAAGCTCGACCATATGAAGAAGAATGTGGCACCAGGATCAGAGGAAGGCTCATTAACAACATGCAATATGCAGATGATGCAACTTTGCTTATGGAAAGTGAGGATGACTTGAAACACTTACTGATGAAGAATGAAGACTACAGTCTGCAGTATGGATTACACTTCAATACAAAGAAAACAAAAATCCTCACAACTGGACTGTAAGCAGCATCACAATAAATGGAGAAACACTGAAATTGTAAAAGATTTAATATTACTTGGTTCCACAATCAACATCCATGGAAGCAGTCAAGAAATGAGACAACATATTGCACTAGGCAAATCTGCTGCAAAAGACCTCTTTAAAGTGCTGAAGAGCAAAGATGTCTTTTTGAAGACTAAAGCCTCATATGCAGGTGAAAGCCGGACAATGAATAAGGAAGACCCAAGAAAAGTTGATGTTTTGAGTTGTGTTGCTGGCGAAGAATACTAAAAGTACCTTGGACTGCCCAAAGAACTAACAAATCTGTCCCGGGAGAAGTGCAGCCAGAATGCTCCTTGGAAGCAAGAATGCCCAGACTTCCTCTCCATTGGTCATGTTGTCAGAAGGAACCATTTCCTGGGAAAGGATATCATGCTTGGGAAGTGGAGGGTCAGCGAAAAAGGGGAAGGCCCTCAACAAGATGGACTGACATAGTGGCTGAAATAATGGGCTTAGGTATAGCAAGGATTGTGAGACTGATGCAGGGGCAGGCAATGTTTTGTTCTGTTGCACACAGGGTTGCTATGAGCTGAAGCTGACTCGATAGCACCTAAAACAACAACAATTTTCCCTGTGTATACTGAATTTTGTATTTTATTCTTCAAAGTTATCAAAATAATCCTGCTGTGCTGCTCCTTTTGGTACAAATCAAATTCTAATATTGTCTCTTCTTATACCTTAAGTGAACTGTGACTAGACTGCAAATCAACAGAAGCTCAAATTTAACTTTAAGTATCGATAATATTCCATCAGTTCCTGGAACCTTGTTTTTCACCAACACCTTCAGCACAGCTTGGACTTCTTCCTTCAGTATCTTTAGTTCTTTATCATATCCTTTCTCTTGAAATGGTTAAACATTGAACAACTGACTTTGGTACAAAAACTCTGTGCATTTCTTTCATCTTCTTTTGATGCTTCCTCCTTCAATATTTTGTGCATAGAATCCTTCAGTATCGCAACTGGAGGCATGAATCTTTTCTTCAGTTCCTTCAGCTTAAGAAATGCTGAGCATATTCTTTCCTTTTGGTTTTCTAACTCTAGCTCTGTACATTTCATTTTAATGCTTTGCTTTCTTAAGCTGGCCTTTGAAATCTTCTGTTCAGCTATTGTACTTCATTCTTTCTTTCTTTTGCTTTACTTTACATTCAAGAGCAAGATTTGGAGTCTGTTCAGACAACCATTTTTATCTTTGTTTCTATCCTGTCTTTTTAATGACCTTTTGCTTTCTTCACATGTGATGTCTTTGATGTCATCCCACAACTCTTTGGGTTTTTGGTCATTACTAGTTTAATGCATCAAACATATTCTGAAGTTGGTCTCTAAAGTCAGGAGGGAAATACTTAAAGTCATACTTTGGCTCTCAGGGACTTGTTTTAATTTTCTTCAGTTTCAACTTGAACTTGCATGTGAACAATTGATAGTCTCTTCTGCAGTCGGACCCTGGCTTTGTTCTGATTGATGATATTCAATTTCTCCATCATCTCTTTCCACAAGTGTAGTTGATTTCATTCCTATGTATCCTACCTGGCAAGGTCCATGTGTGTAGTCTTTGTTTATGCTGCTGAAAAAAAAAAAAATGTATCGCCAATATATGACTCATTGTTCTTGAAAAATTTTATCATGCAATCACCTGCATTCTTTCTATCACCACGTCATATTTTCCAACTACTGATCCTTCTTGTTTCCAACTTTAATATTCCAATCATCAGTAATTATCAATGCATCTTGATTGCATGATTGATCAATTTAATACTGCAGAAGTTGCTAAAACTCAATTTCTTGAATTTTGGCTTTAGTGGTTGGTATGTAAATTTTAATCATAGTCATATTAACTGGACTTTCATTTAAGTGTATGGATAGTATCCTATCACTGTCAGCACTGCAGTTTAGGATAGATCTTGAAATGTTCCTTTTGACAATGAATGTCAAAATTTGTCATTCCAGACATAGTACCCTATATGACTGATTCAAAATGGCCAATACCAGTGCATTTCAGCTCAGAAATGCTTAGGATATCTATCTTCAACTGTTCCTTTTCCATTTGGACAAGTTCAGATTTTCCTAGATTCATACTTTGTATATACCATGTTCTGATTATTAATGGTTATTTATTTGCAGCTGTTTCTTCTCATTTTGAGTCATACCACATTAGCATGTGTAAGTCCTAAAAAGTTTACCCCACCTACATCATGAAGGACAACTATTATTTTGAGGAAAGGAATTCTGGTGGCACAGTGCCTAAGGCATTTGACTGCTAACCAGAAGGTTGACAGTTCAAACCCACCAGCTGCTCTGCAGAAGGAAGACAGGGCAATGTACATCCATAAAGGTTCACTGCCTCAGAAACCCAAAGGGGGTTGCTATGAGTTGGAACCGACTCAATGGCAGTGAGTTTTTTGGTTTTTTTGGGGGGGTATATTTTGAGAATGCAGATCTTTTCCAGTCTTGTTTTGAGTGCCTTATAACCTGAAGGGCTGATCTTCCGGCACTATATCAGACAATGTTCCACTGCCATTCATAAGGTTTTCACTGGCTAATTTTTTAAGAAGTAGATGGCCAGGTCTCTAAACTTCACTGAAACCTGTTAACTGTGTTCTGGAAGCTCCACTGAAACCTTTCCACCATGAGTGATCCTGCTGGTATTTGAAATACCAGCGGCATAGCTTCCAGCATCCCGGCAACATACCAGCCCCACAGTACAACAAACTGACACATGAATGGTGGAACACTGGAAATACTCACTTACCCATGCCAAGAAATTTGGAAAACAGATACCTGCCCAATTGATTGGAAGAGATTCATATTTGTGCCCATTTCAAAGAAATAAAATACAGCAGAATGCAAAAATTGTTGAACAATGCCATTAATATCACACATGAGTAAAATTTTGTTGAAGATAATTCAAAAATGGTTACAGCAGTACATTGAAAGAAAACTGCCAGAAATTCAAGACAGGTTCATAAAAGGACATGAAACAGGGATATTACTGCTGATGTCGGATGGTTCTTGGCTGAAAGCAGAGAATACCAGAAAGATGTTTACACCTGTGTTTTTATTGCCTATGCAAAGGGAGCTGACTATGGATCATAACAAATTATGGATAACACGGCAAAGAATGGCAAATCCAGAACACTTAATTGTGCTCATATAGAATCTGTCCACAGACCAAGAGGCAGTTGTTCAAACAGAAAAGGGGGTACTGCATGGTTTAAAATCAGGAATGGTGTGCATCAGGGTTGTATCCTTTCACCATACACATTCAGTATGCTCAGCAAATAATCTGAGAAGCTGGGTTATATGTAGCATCAAGATTAGAGAAAGACTAATTAACAAACAGTAATATGCAGATGACCCAACTTTGCTTGCTGAAAATATAAAAGGACTTAAAGCACTTACTGATGAATATTAAAGACTACAATCTTCAACATGGCTTATACTTCAACAAAAAGAAAACAAAAACCCTCACAACAAGACCAACAAGCAACATCATGATAAGTGGAGAAAATATTGACATTGTCAAGGATTTCATTTTACTTGGATCTACAATCAATGCCCATGGAAGCAGCAGACAAGAAATCAATGTATTACGGTGGGCAAATCTGCTGCAAAATACCCCTTTAAAGTATTAACAAGCAAAGATATCATTTTGAGGACTAAGATGTGCCTGACACAAGCCATGGTATTTTCAATCACCTCATATGCATGTGAAAACTGGAAAATGAATAAGGAAGACTATAGAAGAAATGATGCCTTTGAATTAAGGTGCTAGTGAAGAATACTGAATATACCATGGGCTAACAGAAGTCTTGGAAAAAGTATATAACTAGAATGTTCCTTAAAAGCAAGGATGGTGAGACTTCATCTCATGTACTTTGGATATTTTAGCAGGAACCAGTCCCCAGAGAAGGACATCATGCTTAGTCAAGTGGAGGGTCAGCAAAAAAAAGAGGAAGACCTTCAATGAGATGAATTGACACAATGTCTGGAACAATGAGTTCAAACATAGTGATGATGGTGTAGATGGTACAAGACCAGCAGTATTTCTTTTTGTTGTACACAGGGTCATCATGAGTTGGTACCAATTTGATGGCACCTAGTAACAACAGTCTATCACATATCCTCAAAAAACAGATTAGTTCTATTTCTTCACATTTTATCTGAATGGCAAAGCGCAAACAAATAGGAAAACTGGAGATTCTGGATGTCACAGAAAATGGTATGATATAGATTATTATGGGTTCACATTTCTGACATATTCAAGGTGCACATTTTGTGCATATAAGTAAGAGATATACACAATGAAATGATGAGGCCATTCACTGAGTGGTAACTGTGTGCTGGCACTGAATTGAGTAGGTTACATGTGAGTATCTTTTACCAAAGGAGCTCTGGTGGTGTAGTGGATAAGGCATTTGGCTGCTAACCAGAAGGTTGGAGTTCAAACCCACCAGCTGCTCTGCAGAAAGAAGATGGGGCTATCTATTTCCGTAAAGATGGACAGCCCTGGAAACCCAACGGGGGGAGGGGGTTGCTATGAGTTGGAATCAGTAGTGAGTTTGGTTTGGTTTTACCACATATTATGTTGTTGTTGTTTGTTGCCATCAAGTGAACTCCAACTCATGGTGATCCCATATGTGCCAAATGGAACTACTCTACAGAGTTTTAAAGGCTGTGACCTTTTGAAAGGAGATCATTGGGCCTGACTTCCAAGGTACCTCTGGGTGGGTTCAAACTGCCAACCTTTCTCTCAGCTCAACAACAGAAAGACCTACATGCAGAACACCTACCCCGGAACAATGTACCCACCTCCTCTAGGGAGATGCATCCCTTAGATCAACCAGCCATGAGACATCAGAGGGGCAGCATTCACACAGAGGAAAAGCGGACAGAGAGGACTGCATAGATAAGAAGGGCACAGGGAGGGAACTGTCACAAGAAGAAGAGGTGAGGAGAGTTTGTTATGGTTGGGGAGGGTAACTGGGGCTGTGAAATCACATGTGCATGAAAAGTTGAACATAGAATAAATTTGCACCCCAAGCACAATTTAAAAAATTAAAAACAAAAAACTGCCAACCTTTTGGCTAGTAGTTAAGCATATAACCATTTGCAACATCTAGGGGCTGGACTACATGCTATTTACATCCTTCAGTTTTCTCTTCTGAAAATAGGCAGTTATGAGTGTCTATTTCACAGGAAAACTATGAATAATTTATACAATACATATTATGTAAAAATCCTAATAATATTAATTACCTTATTTAATCTTCAGAGCAATTCTCTGAGACAGGCATTATTGATCACATTTTACACTGGCAAAAATTGAGGGTCAGAAAGTTGAAGAGATTTCCCAAGGTTGCACAGCTAGTTAAGTGATTGTTGTTGTTGTTGTTGTTATGTGCCGTCGAGTCAGCCCTGACTCATAGCAACCCCTCCTTGGGTTTCCGAGGCAGTATCACTACGGAAGTAGGATTGCCCAACCTTCCTTCCGAGGAGTGGCTGGTGGGTTTGAACCGCCAGCCGTCTGGTTAGCAGGCAAGTGTCTTAGCCACTATGCTACCAGAGTCTGATTAAAATACAGGTTGGTTTGACTCCCTGGTCCGTCCAACAAGTCATAAGCTATGTGAAGAAATCAAATACCAAAAAATTCCCCAAAAAATAAAGACTTAAAAAATGTTTTAAGTGTCACTTAAAACAGTAAATAAACCAGTTAACCAGATGGCTTCAAGTTCATTCTGACTCATGGTGACCCCATTTAGCCTACCCATCATATATGCAGATTAGCCTGACATCTACAATCTGATACCTTTTCTGTTAGTTCAATATCACCTAAATCCAATCTATCCAATTCTGCATGGGTGGTGGGTGGCACAGTTCGACGGCAGCATACCACTGTCACTTCTATAGGTAGTTCCTTTAAAATATTGACCACATCTTGGTGATTTTCTCCCAGCAAAGTTATGCCATTCACCTGTGGGAGAAAAAATAAATTTTCCAAGAAAGAATAATATCTCATAATATGAATATTCTTTCCCAAACAATTTTTCATTTAACAATTTTACTATAGTGGGTACCATGGTTCTGCTGTGCTCAGAACTATATTTAAACTTGTAGTAGACTAACTAGAACAATTTATATCCAATTTCAGAGCTTTGTTGGCATTGAACCTTCTCTAGAACTCACAAGAAAATCACTAACTTTCCTTCATTTTGATTTGCCAGTGCAGGAGTTAGGAAATGAAGAGTTAATAAAACTATTCCCCAAGGATAAAGGGAAAAAGGAACAGATTACGAAAAACATAATATTTTATAAAATTATTAAGTGAAAAAAAATAAAAAGTGGTACATGTTGTATGCTAGCATGTGTTTTAATAAGTAGGGGAAAAGAACATATTCAAATTCTGTGACTTATACATTAAAATAACTGTAAGAATGCAAGAAATGAATAACAGCAGTTATCTATTAAAGGCAATGGGAATTGGGTGAATGGGGACAGGAAGGAGACTTCACTGAGTCTGTGTTCAAAGTCTGTATCTTTGAATTGTTTGTGATTTTTTTTGAAACATGTAAATATATTGATTACCTATTCCTAAAACTGAATCAATGTTTTAGAATTTACAAACAAGCATAATTCATTGAACCTTTAAAAAAAAAGCATGAAATTAGGTCTGAAGGTCAATACATATTCAGATTTGAAACTTCTTCTTTGGGTGAATTGTTATTTGCAAACCTCTCTCAAGTATCCTTCAGAAGGGGTCTTAACATAAGAACTTACTGAATTGTCATACTAAGCATCAATAGCCTTCTCAGAATCTTACTAAAGGAGGAGAGAGAATGGCATGGCATAGTTCCTTACTTCCAATAGCTCATCTCCACTGAACAGCTTCCCACTGTGTCCAACAGGACCTTCTGGTAGAACAGAACGGATAAAATGATGCCCCACTGTTGCTTCCAGACTTATCCCCAATCCACTGTTCTCACTGAACTTGCTCACATGGGCCACCTGGAAGGAAAAAAATCATCAACAATTGTAATGTTATTTTGTTTCTTTTTTTAATCTACTCATGCATATATTTTATATTTACCTACAAATGGTCAACTTTCCTAGAAAAGCTTCAAAAATCTAACTTTAAGCTGCAAAGCTTTGGAGCTTTGTGATAAAAGAATACTGATGTCCACTGGTCACAAACAAAAATGGAAAGGAAGCAGCCAGCAGCTACAAGTACCCAAGACACTTTTGCAGTGCCTACAGATGCTGATAACAGATGGGAAGCAGTCAAAACCACCATGGATAAAATCAGAAGCCTGAATTCAAATGACAGACAGAAAACATGCATTACTTAGCACATAGGATGTGCCAGGGACTGTGCTAAATAAACTCTTTTCATTATCTCAAGTGTACCTCCTATCTCCTACTATTACACGAAAATAAAACAAAATGTTAGGAAATGACGTATTTCCCACAGAATCCAACAATTATAATATTAAAATCAGAAGGGATACTAAAGATCATCTATTTCATCCCCTTTATTTCACCATTAAGGCAATTGAGGCATAGAAAGACTTAGGGGGAAGAGGAAAATAGGTTATTTGAAAGAGACCTCTTTTCAAATCTTAATGTAGTAAGTATAGGGTAGATATCAGCATCTATATCACCATCTGACTATGAAATCTAATGATGGATGAAATCATCCTCACCCATCTGAGAAACTTGCAAAAAAACCAAACCAAACTCACTGCCACTGTGTTGATTTCAACCCTCAGCGACCCCCATTGGGTTTCCAAGGCTGTACATCTTTACAGAAGCAGATTATCTCATTTTTCATACATGGAGCAGCTGGTAGATTTGAACCACCAATCTTCTGGTTAGCAGCCAAATGCTTTAAACACTATACCACCAGAGTTCCTTCTGAGAAACCGTCAGGTCCCCATTAATAATGGCCTTTTATCCTTCCTCTCTGATGGCATGTTGGGTAAGGCATTTGGCTGCTAACCCAAAGGTCAGTGGTTCAAACCCACCAGCTGCTCTACAGGAGGAAGATGAAGCAATCTAGTTTCGTTAGAGTCAGAGTCAACTCGATAGCAGTGGTTTGAGGTTTTTATTTTATTATTATT